GGCCTCGAACTCCCAGAGATCCACCTGCCGCTGCCTCCAGAGTGCTGGGATTAAAGGCGTGCGCCACCACTGCCCGGCTTAGTCATGTCTTATTGATTGTGATGAATATGTGGTCTGACTTCCATCATCTACGTTAAGTCCTTGGGTCTCATATTTAATATTTCCTGATGAGCATTGGTAATGGCTAAATGTGGTCATAGGTGTTGCTGGTGCATCCAGCATCCAGCTGTGTCCCCTCAACTTTTGTTTTAGGGGGAGTGAATGGGGATACATGAGATCCATGTGGAAAATGAAGATGTTGAGGAGACACTGAAGACTGGCAAATGTAGTAATAGGTAGGGCACACAAAGTGCCAGAAGGAAGCGGCCGAGCCATGCCTGTGGTTACTAAAGCATTCACACACGAGTGAGAGGTAAGCAGAAAAGCCTGGGGTAACCCATGACTAAGAGTCTCCTGTGTGTGAACAAGCAAGGACAGAGCAAACAATGACTGCCATGCTAGAGGGGCAGGCTGGATTGGGTAGGGCTGGTGGGCACTTGGAATGACCCTTGCATTTACAGAGGGCAAGAAGATGATACCAAGAACATTCCAAGCTACGGTATGGCATGATCTGGCTTCTGTTTAGTCCCGTCTCCCTACCATCCCCAAACTTCTGATGATCAGATGGTTTGGCATGCACAGCTCCATGGTGGAATACAGTTTGCTGTTTGCTGTAATAATTCCACAATGGACTTAGACTATACTGTAAGTGGGTGTGTAGCCTGTTCCTCAGGTATAATCTTTACATCCCACCACTGCCTCTGCAGAGCTGGCATTAAAGGGGAGTGCCACCGGGTCCTGCCTTCAGCTGATCTCCTTCCTTCCTTCCTTCCTTCCTTCCTTCCTTCCTTCCTTCCTTCCTCCCTCCCTCCCTCCCTCCCTCCCTCCCTCCCTCCCTCCTTCCTTCTTTCTTCCTTCCTTCCTTTCTTTCTTTTTTAGTTTCGTACAGGCTCCCTGGTTGTTGGTTCATACTCTATGAGCTCCTATGAGCCTGGGTTAGTTGTTTCTGTGAGTTTTCTTGTGAAGTCCTTGACCCCTCTGGCTCCTACAATCCTTCCTCTGTCTCTTCTACTGTGTTCCCTGAGCTCTGCCCAATGGCTGTGGATCTCTGTATTTGTTTCCATCAGAGAACATCAGGTTCTCTTCTGATTGTGTGACAACAATTGGGATAGTCACCAATGTGATCAGAGGAGTTGGCCAGTTCAGGCTGCCTCTCCACTATTACTGGGAGTCTTATCCTTTTTTGTTTGTTTTGTTTTTCAAGACAGGGTTTCTCTGTGTAGCTTTGGAGCTTGTCCTGGAACTCGTTTTGTGGACCAGGCTGTCCTCACTCATAGGGATCTGCCTGCCTCCGCCTCCTGAGTGCTGGGATTAAAGGCGTGCACCATCACCACCGGGCCTAAACATAGGCTCTATTCTTTTTTCTGAAAGATGTATTTATTTTATGTACATTGGTGTTTTGCCTGCATGTATGTCTGTTTGAGGGTGCCAGATTTCCTAGAACTGGAGTTATAGACAGTTGTGAGTGCTGGGAATTGAACCCAGGTCCTCTGGAAGAACAACCCATTCACTTAACCGCTGAAGCATCTCTCCAGCCCCACTGGGAGTCTTAGCTGGGGTCTGTGTAGATTTGTGGAAGTTTCCTTTGCACCAGGTTTCTACCTGACCCCAAAATGGACCCTCTTTCCAGTCATGTCTTTTAATACTCTCCCTCTCTATCCACTCTACAACCCAAACCCCCAAGTTCCTGTCTCACCCACCCCCATTCCACTCAGGAGATTTCTTCTGTCTTTTCATGTGTCCCCTTTGGGCCCTTCTTGTTCCCTAGCCTCTCTGGGTCTGTGGATTGAAGCATGATTATCCTTTACTTTACATCTAATATCCACTTCTGACTGAGTATATACCCAAGTTTGTGGGATTCCTCTGGAGTTAGGGACAGAGACCAGCAGTAGCCCTGGTGCTGAGATGAGACTGCGCAGGCCACAGGAGGGTCACTAACAAGTTGTGAGTGGTGTGGTCTGAGTCTTAGAGGTAGAAGTCCGCTGGGACCTCCCAGCATCAGCAGGATTAGGTGGGAGCTAGGATGGAGTTGACCTGGGAAAGGGTCATGGGGTACAGAATGCAGGCAGCCCAATCACTCACCCAGTCCAGACAATTTTCTCAACCATCTATTTTACTGTAGCTTGTACACATCCTCTTCAGAGGCCTTCTGCTTTTCTCTTGCAGAGGTCAATTTTCATTGTGTACTGCGGAGTGAACCAACAAATGTTTCCTGAAATTTTTCTTTCAATAACAAATCTTTTCCCGAGGTATGCGCGTCTGCTGTTCTAAAAGACAATGCACTTTTACCTTGGGCTGTAGGGCTTTGTGTGACTTGTAAGACTTGTTTTCATTAGCATTCATATCTAATGAGGGAAGTTTATTTATAAACTGACTGGTATTTACCAAAAGAAAAGTATCTTCCTTTTGTATTCAAAGTCTTATAGTGGCTGATCTGCCCTAATCCATACTGTGCTAGGCATTTTTAGTATCTTTAGGGTTTTTTTTTTTTTAAATTATGGGACATATAATCATAAAAAAGCCATGCAGATTTTAATTGCAAAGTGAGCCATAGATTCATGCCCCTCCTAATAGAATCAGCTCAGAACTTTCTTCTGTTCCTTGGGTCTCTCCTACTGGGTAGGAGGAGGTCTTTATCACACTCCCTCCTCTCAACAGCTTCCTGCTGAGCTTTCCTTGGTCTTTGCATCTGGGTGTTTTGTCTGCATTATGTTTTGCCCGAATGTCTCTGAACTGGAATTACAGACAGTTCTGAGTCAGCATGTGTGTGCTGAGAATTAAACCTAGATCCTCCAAAGAGTCATAAATGATGAGCTATTGCTAATGTAGCAGCCTCTTGACTGAGTTTTTTAAAAGATAGGAACTTTTATATAAATATGAAAATGATCTTAAGTTTTTGTCAGTCACACTGCTTGGGATTCTGGGTTTTTAAAGGACAGGGAACGTGGATATAAGGAGTGTTGAGGCACCAGTTGATAGTCATTGAATTAAGTATCTTTCTCTTAAATCTTTTTAGGTTTTTAAAATGCCTAATTCTGATAAAACCTTTCTTATTATAATGTCTAGAAGATTGTATATAAATTAAAAATCCTTGTATAAATTAAACATGAAATTCAACAAATTAAAATTTAAGGTGTGTTATCTCATTTCTATAATGTATTTGTATATTGCTTTATCCTATTTATCTTTTTTCTTCCCATTCATATACACCTATAGCATTTCTACCAACTAGTAGAGGTTATTTATTAATATATGATTTACTTTGTGCAGAGGGAAGACTGTTTCAGCAAAATGTAATTATTTTAAGAGTTAAAAGAACTACCAAAGGATATAAATAAAATGCCAAATATCAGTGTCACCTTCGCTCATATATACACATTTTATAAACCACTGAACCCTCCTATGTATATAGAGAAATACAGATCTTTATTCCAAAACGTTGAATGGAAAGATATATCTATCTTCCTCTTTCTAAACCTGTCTGAGAGCTGGGAAGCTAAGTCTGTTTCCATGTGTGCTGCATTCTTTCTCAGAAGGAACACATAAGAGGCTTAGGTGAGAAAGCATCCCAGGTCAATCTCTCTGGTCTCGAGTGCCTATGAGTTACCGTGACTGCTGCCTAAAATACATCAGTTCTTATAGATGCTTTGCAGTACTTAGGGGATAGGGCCTGGAGTTCCTCTGGCACCCCACTGATCTCCCTGGAGGGACTTCTGGAAGAAAGGCACTGGTTTTCACCATGTGGAAAAGTGCAGCTTCTTGGCCATTTCCAAAGTCTGACAGAATCCTTTGCTCCCTAGGTCTCGGCATTTCTGCTTCTCTTTTACCCACTGAAGACCCAGTTCGTATCTTTGTCCGCATCCACGGCACAATGCTGCCTCTCTCTCTCTCCCTCCCCCTGTCCTTCCCTCCATTCCCCCCCCCCTCTTTCTCACAATTTTGTTTTCCAAGACAGGGTTTCTCTGTGTAGCCCTGGCTGTACTGGAACTCACTCTATAGTTGGGGCTGGTTTTGAACTCAGAGATCTGCCTTCTGTGTGCTGGGATTAAATGCATGTGTCACCACCCATGATGCTCTCTTAATATGAAACCTTAGAAGAAAAGTCTTCAGATGCACCCGGCATCAAAACCCTCCCCAAAGAAAGGGAACACAAAATCACGTTTTCTTTCCTTAACATAGAATAGGGAAATAGAACAGAATAAAATTATACTACCCAATAAATATGCTGCTTGTCATCATGATAGTCTCAAATAATAGGAACGTTTCTTTTCTTTTTGGTTATCTGGAAGGTCATTCCCCACCATTGCACTGTCTTATGTACATATGTTATGCTATTATAATCCATGGGGTAAACTTTTCAAGCTGACGGACATCCCTCTCTGCTCCCGTCTCTAAATTCTCACCCCGCAGCAGGTAGAGGAGAGGCCTGGATACAGACTTGGAGGCAAAGGCCATGCCTTAGGCTACGGAGAGCAGGGCATCTGCCACATGGATAGCAGGGTGGTTTCCAGCCTGCATTCCCACAGATTTGAAACAGACCAAAAGTCAAGGAAGGAGAGGCCAAGCGCGAGGGGCCCCTCCACTCCGTTTCGATCACACCAGCTGGGCTAAACAAACACCACAACAATAAAACACAGCAACCAACTTTGTTTATGTGTTCAATTCTACATAAAATTGTGTTTTAATGGAGGCTTCCATTGTACATATGTGAAAATCAGGATCACAGTGATAAAGGTGCTTGTTACGCAATCCTGGCGGGTCAGGACCCACATACGAGTTATACGGAGAGAAATGACTTATGAAAAGTTGTCACCTGACCTCTACACACATCCCAGTAAATGCATTTCTGCATTCACATACAAATGAACAGGCACACACAATAAAAAGAAACAAAATTGCAGTGGTGGCACACATCTTTAATCCCGGCACTTGAGAGGCAGAGGCAGGTAGCTCTCCGAATTTGAGGCCAACTTGGTCTACAGAGCAAGGTCCAGAACACCTAGGGCAACACAGAGCAACCCAATCTCAAAAAAACCAATAAAGAAACCATTGAAGAACATATGTATTATATGCACATTTGAAATACTATTTTCTATTAAAGGTCTTTCCTATTCAATATTATAATTCCATGGTATAGAAACTAATCCCCTCCTTCAAATATTATGTTGGCTGATTATCATTTGAAGACCCCAAATGATAGTCCAAGTTTAGGTGATTTATTTAGACTCTCAGTGTTTTTAGTCAAAGGATTGTAGATATGAATCTTGAAGTTTCCTAGACTGAAGCAGGATCTTCTAGCGGTTGTCACCCAGCCTGCCTCTCCACTCCACAGAACAGTGAGGTTGAACACGCCAAGTAGCTCCAGCTCAGCCCTGAATCAGGCCTGGATCTCACAAGAATTTTACACGCTAACTCTTTATTGCTGCTACTTTCTGGTTACAGTGATCACCACACAGATTTATCTTAGCCATTCTAAGACTTCAATAACCATACAGATTACTCAACTTTAGTAGTAAATTAGTTTCAGATAACATTAAAATTCACCTTATTAGGCGACAGTATCTAAAGATAATTTTAGATAGTTAACTTTATTTTATGTCTAGTTGAATAACGTGTATACACTATAATGTTTTCTGAAATTAGTGACTCCCTCCGTAAGACAAGGTTTCGCTTGAATCTTCACAGCAGATATTTTACAGCAACATTTTATTTTACAATACTTGGCTTCCGCTTGCTAAAAACATAGGTGGGTAACATTTCTTTTCAATTTCAGACATTTTAGTAACATATAATTCTGAGATTTCCAGAACAGAAAGTTCCATTTTTAATCCTACTACTACAAATTTAAGAATATGTCTTATCTTCTGCAATGCGAGCATTACAATTGTTATTTTTCTTCCATTAATAATGAATACTAAAATTAGAGTAGTCTAGTTTAGAGATGGTTTTTTCATTAGTAAAGTCTGCCCGGTCGATGCGAGAACTAGGGCTCCCAACCTTGCTCAGCCAGGCCTTCCTGCAAAACAGAAGCAAACAAAAATGAGCATGCACAGCACACACACTAGCAGACCCGTGAGAGCTAATAAGGGGATTCACATTTGTGATGCACATTTGCACATAATGTCACAATGAAGGGCGTTATCCTGCATACATAACGCTAATTAAAATAAATAAATTGCTTACTTTGTATATGCTGTTCTAAGAATACTACAAAATACAATATACAGTTACACATGGGTAAAGAAAAGGTATTAATTTAAGCAACTTATTTTATAGTAAGATCGTTATCCCTGCCCTAAAAGAAACACTTCAAGGCCATTATTACTTAGCTTTTTTAAGTTTCAAAATATTTTTACAAAGTGGTTATTAGTCAAAGCAATTAATTCACCATTCTTTTCATTACCAAGTATATAGTAAACCCATATGTACATGTGCGTGCGCACATACGTGTGTGCATTGTGTGTGTGTGTGTGTGTGTGTGTGTGTGTGCGCGCGCGTGTGTGCATGTGGAGGCTGGAGAACAACTGAGTATTGATCCTCAGGTGCCATACACTTTATTTTTCTTAAGACATGGTCTGTAAGAGGCCTGGAATTTCCCAGGTAGGCTCTGCTGGCCAGTGGGCCCAGTCTCTGCCTCTGCAGCCCTGGGGTTGCCGGCATGAACACCATGATCAGCATTTTCCTCACATGGGCTCTAGGGATGAAGCTCAAGTCCTCATGTCTGCAGGCAAGCACTTTACCAACTGAGACTTGCCCACCCCTATAAGAATGAGGCTGTTAGAGACAGTGATGGCCTGAGCCCAGCTGTTACAGAGAACGGTCCTTCACATTCCTGGAGGTGTTCCTTGCTGTGAAACCACCACTGTATGGTGAGGTGCAGCGGAATCTCACACTACATTAAAGCTTGGACTGAAAACTATTTTCTGGGCAAAACCGATTGTCTGAAAACGACTCTTAACCAGGGAAAAGAATGACTCAAGTTGGCTTTTACTTGTGACTTTTGCTAGGTGAGGTCAATTTTGCTTCCCCACCCCATAGGCTAGATCATCAATAGTTACAGATTTCGTTTCTTTTCTTCATCTAATTAAAATCTTAAAAGTGAAAATTTCACATCCTTAGTTACATCTCTCTTGCTGTGATTAAACATCATGGCCAAGGCAACTTATAAAAATGATCTATGAGCTCTTGGAAAAAACAAACTAGTCATAAAATTTCATATAAACGTATATTAGTTAAAAGGACAGTTACCGTATTCCCATACATTCCACATCTACATAATATCCACATACGTATAAATGTATGCATATATACATACCATCACCACATCGTCAAGTGGTATAGGTGACCAGTTCACTAAGTACTTAGGAGGCATATTCTAGGTGCTTGATTGCATACACAGCTACTTACAATGCAATTTGTTCTCTCAGGAGCTTACGTCTGTTGGGGAAGTTTGGAGAATAAAGGTGGCTATAAGGTAGCATGTGACATGCAAAGTGCGTTGTACAAAGGAGAGACGCACAGAGACATGCAGACTGGAATGCACTTGGGCAGATCACCGTGAGAGTACGAGCATTTCAACTGCATTCTTAAGAAAATGCTAGCAAATTTGCAGATTTTAGATAAGCATGATTGAAACAAAGAGCTGCTGGGGATGCTAAATATATAAAAATGGTTCAGGTTTTCAATAACTGAAAGAAAGAAAGTCTTCAATGGACAAGTCGTAAAATGGAAGATTTATTTGGAATATTCTTCTTGTACAGACTACTTTAAATTGATGTATGAGATGTTTATGCAATAGAAAAATGGGCAAAAACTATGATTGCTTAAAAAATAAATATAACTAATGCCAGTAAATATCTGAAAATGTTCACAGTTTTATGTTAAAAATTCAAATAAAGAATGAGATACTATTTAGCATGTGGGGGGGGTTAGAGGGAAATGTGGCTGAGTTGGGTCTCTCCTCCTACAACACTGGGGCTGGGGACTGAACTCAGGCCATTAAGATTGGCAGCAGGTACCTTTACCTGTCAGGCCATCTCGCCAGCCCTTATAACACTCTCAGTAATTTAAATTTTGTTTTACAGAATTTCATACATGAGAACGGAATGCGCATCATTTTTACTACTTCCTCTCCAATTTCCCCCATGCTCCCATCCTTCCCCCTCAAATTTATGACCTCTCTCTATTATAAATTTTAATAATTTTATAAATTAAAAAATTAAGCTTTATAAATTGCAATTTATAAATAGAACTGGTGAGTCCATTTAGTATTGCTTATATGTATAAGTGTTGAAGGTAGTCCACGTGGGTTTGAATAACCTTTCAGTGGCTTGTTCCTCTCTCACCTGCCTTTAGCTGCCCATTGCTCTTTATTTAGGGATGGGGCCTTGAGAGATTTCCCCTATCCACATTAGCATGTCAACTAGTGTTGACTGCGAAGGTCTTGTTTAGGTGGAAGTACTGTTGAGGTTTTATGGGTACAGCGCCCTGTTATATACAGAAGACACTGTCTCACAGCAAACAGACAATCCTGATCTTCTGGCCTTACAGACTTTCCACCCCTTCTTCCGAGATGTTCCCTGGGCCTGCAGTGTATGGGCCACATTGTGGATGTATCAGCTGGGGCTGGGTGTCTTCACACCTCCTATACCAACCAGACAAACTGTGCTGTGCAGAGAAGGTGTGTAGCCTTCACTTAGGAGACTGCACTATTGAGGCCCACAAAGAGGGTGATGACAATGCCCAGTCTTCCAGCAGCATCCCAGTACCTGGAGGGGAATGTAAGTGGCACTTTGCAGCCTCTATGTCCCACCTCCCAGCTCAGGGGGATGATGGAGGAGGAAGGACAAAGGGATGATAACAGATGGACAAGGCCCAGGGAAAATTGCATAAAGCAGGCATACTCATTAAGTTTAGTTTCTTCTTTAGATTTATCTGTTTGTGCATATGTCTGTGTGCTGTGAAGGTCAGAGCACAAGCCCTGGGAGCCAGTTCTTTCCTCTCACCACGTAGATCCTGGGACCCAAACTCCCGTTACCAGGCACGGCAAGCACCTGCACCAATAAGCCATCTTGCCAGCCTACTTTTTTTTTAAGGATTTATTTATTTATTATGTATACAGTGTTTGCACAAATGCCAGAAGAGGGCACTAGATTTCATTACAGATGGTGGTGAGCCACCATGTGGTTGCTGGGAATTGAACTCAGGACCTTTGGGAGAACAACCAGAGCTCTTTAACTTCTGAGCCATCTCTTCAAGCCCCACTAGCCCGCTCTTTAGAAAATAAAGAAGGTACATCTTTTCTTTCCAGAAAGGAATAATATATATTTGTTTGTAAGGAGACATTTACATGAAATAGCCTCCACATTCAGTTCACAGCAATGTGGGAGTTAAGCTAATTTTCTGCGCTCTAGCAGGTGCACAACAGAGCTATGGGAGGCCTTAAGATTACATTGCGCTTTCTTGGATGCTGGTCCTGCTAAACTGGCCAAAGCCAGCTAAGCCAGGGGTCAACATCTGGGCCAATAGTTTCTCAACAGCTACAACCCATATGAGGAGGAGATTAAAATATTTTTAACAGATATTTTTGTATGAGAATCCCACCTCCCCTCACCTAAAACGGACGTGTCTACCAGCTTGTCCCTGAGTTCTGCTTCTGTGTTGATTAGGATGAGCCAAATAACCGGTTTCCCTTTCCAGTCCGATTGTTGGTCTCTGAACACCTTTTCTCTTGGATCTATTATATTCTCCAGGAAAAACACACCCAATATTCCTGCCCACAGGGCATAGACCTGGACAGGCTGTCCTGGGAGTCTGAAGGTTATGGCTTTGAGCCAGCTAGTTTTATGCCAATTTGACACAAGTTAGTCATTTAGGGAAGAAAGAACCTCAGTAAAGAAAACACCCTCACCAGATGGGCCTGCAGGCGGGACTATGGTGTATTTTCTTGATTGACGTGAGAGTGCCCAGCCCACTGTGGGTGGTCCACCACTGGGTAAGAGGTCCTGGGTTATATAAAAAAGCAGACCGTGCAAAGCAGGAAAAGCAAGCCAGTACGCAGAACTCCTCCATGGCTTCCACTTCAGTTCCAGCCTCCAGGTTCCTGCTGTGACTCCCCTGAATGGTGGACTACAGGTTGTAAGATGAAATACACTCTTCCCACCCACGTTTGACCTTGGTCAGTGTCTTATCACAGCAACAGAAACCCTGACAGGCCGGGTGCACATTAGATCTTAAGTATCTCTTTGACAAAGATGTGCAAGTCTACCTCACTCATCCCAGTTCTCAAAGTTGCTGTAACTTTTTCTCCCTTTTTTAGACTTTATAGATGTTTAATCCTTCAAGAAAATCCTTTTTACTAGTAAGCGGAGTTTGTGTAGGGGTAAAAGTAAATGCACGTGTTCAAAATGTAACATCTTTAAAATATGGTTTTATCCTTTGTATTTACAACTTTAGGGTTGGCGAGATGGCTAAGTAGATAAAGGCATTTACTGTCAAGCCAGACAACCTGGTTCAATCCCTAGCATCCACGTTTGGAAAGGAGAAAAATGATGCCTGAAAATTGTCCTCTGTCCTCCACGTGTGTGCAGTGAACTGTGCCCCACAACACTCACTGGCCTCCCTGCCTCCCCTCTCCACAATTAAGATGTTTAAAAAGGGTGACTTTAGCTTCTGTAGAATTATGTAAAGGATCTTTTACTTTTTCATAGTTAGACATGTTCTCCAGTACTTTTTACTGAATAGCTTAACTTTGTCCACACACTTAAAACACAGTTCCCAGCACATTCGAGACTTGCACATGCTCCTGATGATTTCCTCGACATTCTGTTTGGCTGCACTGGGATCCCTGCTCTCTAAGTCAGTACCAACACAATAACTTTAGAGCACATTTTAATTCAGTCACGTCCCTATCTCCTTCAATAACTTTCCTTTTGGATGTTGTCATATATAGTCTTCTAGATCATAGCATAATTTTAACCATTCCTGTCGCATTCCCTTTTAAATATTACACCCACT